GCTCACTGGCCTCCAAATCACATCAGATCTGTATGTCCTACTGGAGGTTTCCCTCAAAGCCAGTGATGGGCTGGGGGAACTGCACAGCTGGGGCACTGGTTCACATCCCAGCATCTGTCTCACCAACACTGTCCGCAAAAGTCAGATCACCTTCTTGCCCCTGTTCACAGCTCCCTGATTTCTGCAGCAGAAGCTCTCACTTGTCCTTCTCATCACAGCAGCGCATTGGGCACTCACGGTGAGTTACTTGTCTACTGTGAGCCCTGAATCCTTTCCAGAGTCACTGTTTTTCCCTGCAGGTGCAGCTTGCACCCCTGCTCCCCCCTACCCCCCCTTGTCTCCATGTAGGACTTTGCATTTGGCCCTATAAAGGGAAAATTTGTTTGACTGGCCTGGTTTACCTACAGAGCCAAATCAGTGCTCTTATTCTGATTTACTACACTGCCAATATGTGCAGCATCCACAAATCTTAGCAGCCGTGAGACTAATTTCTAAGCAGAGCATCATATGGTACTGAGGCAAATGGCATACAAATGTCTGGTACCTCTACAGAGTTGCCTTTTATGAGTCAAACCCATGATCTCATCACAGAAAGAAATCAGGCTCCTTGACATGACCTTCATTCCATAAAGCCTGCATTGATCAGAACTGGCAAATACCAACAGGAAAGTCTGTCTCATTTTTCAGTGAGAACATAGGGACAAAGGCAGGAGGGCTACCGAAAGGGAGAGCATGACCATGGAAGTTATCACTTTTGGGGGTGGAAGCTAAACTCAAAATTGCTTAACGTGCTCAGGTTGCATGGGCTATTGATGTGGCCCAAACCCATGTGGTTTTTGGGCTGCATCATTAGAAGCATTAGGTGCAAGACAAAGGAAGTGATAGTGTCTCTCTGCTCAGCACTGGTCAGGCCTCATCTGGATACTGTGTGCAGTTCTGGGCAAAACATTTTAAAAGGACGTGGAGAAGTTAGAGAGGGTTCAGAGGCAGGCAACAAAGATGATTAAGGGCTTGGAAGGCAAGTCGTATGAGGAGAGGCTGAAGGGGCTGGGCATTTACAGCTCACAATAAAGGTTCTTAAGTGGGGACATAGCAGCAGTCTTCAAATACTAAAAGGGTTGCCATAAAGAAGAGGGAAAACACCTTTTCTCTCTTCCTGCGAAGAGGAGGATGCAGAACAATAGCTTGAAGTTGCTGCAAAGTAAGTTTAGATTGGAAATCAGGGAAAACTTCACTATCAGAATTGTGAGGGAGTGGAATAGATGCCAGGGATGTTGCCGACTCTCCGTCACTGGAGGTGTTCAAGGAGAGGTTGGACAGCCACTGGTCAGGGATGATCTAGGCATAACGATATCTATATTCCACTACAGGGATTTCTCGGGCTTCTGGGCTGTACTGGTTGCCTCTGCCACCCCTTTCTGCTACGTGTGTCAGGGTGGGGGTTTAGCCTTCCTCAGAGGCGGTGGGTGTCTGCTGCAGCCAAGACCAGGGACTGATTGGGCTGGGAGCAAAGATGGAGGTTGCTGGCTAGAGAGTCTTGCCCCTCCTCTCAGGGTCCAACCAATGCCATTTTTGGGGTCAGGAAGGAAGTTCCCCCCATTGTTAGATTGGTACAGACTGGGGGGTTTTCACCTTCCTCTGTAGCAGGGAGTGTGGCCCTCTAGAGCATATTTCATAGAGGCAGGACACTGGCTGCTGTGGCTCTCCTACTCTACCTGTGGCAGGTTAGGGTGTTAGGTCTGTGCTGTGTCAGGATTGGTGGTAGTCTTATGTACAGTTCAGATGATGGTTTGTATGCTATGGTTTGGATAGGGCTGATCTGGGACCCTTCCAGCCCCATGTCTCTAGGATTCTATGATCTCCATTCAAAATACTGAAAGAACTGCTGTGCAAAATGTCAAACCCAGTAACAAGGATTTTCAGTGCATTTATCAAATCAGGGTTACTGCAGAGCTGGGGAATAGCAAGCTTAGCAGCACTATTTAAGAAAGTTAAAGAAACTAATTCAATATCTTCCTTTGGTAAGATCAGAGATTTTTTAGACAGGAAATTCATTAGCTCCAATTTGTTTAGACTTGAGTGAAGCACTTGATATGGTGACCTGTGGGCAATTATTAAGTAAGGTGAAGAAGGTGGAGATTAGTACAACAGGCTACAAGAAATACCATAAGAATTAGCTCAAGTGGGGAGGCAAGAACAGGTTGTACTAAAAGGGGAACCGTCAGCTGCAGGTGGATGATGAGGGAAGATCTCCAAGGATCGGTCTTAGGAACACTCTTGCTCCTTAGTGACCTGGGCACCAAAATTATGAGTGTATGAATGAACTGCGGATGACAAACTGGGAGGCATCACTGATGCAGGGGAGGATCAGACTATCAAATACGACCTTGAGGACTGGGATGACAGAAAGGTGAGGAAATATAATAGGATGAAGTGCAAGGTGATGTTTTTAGGGACTAATAGCAATAATTTCTGTTACAAGCTGCAAAGTCCTGAGTGTATTAACCAATCATGGGGTGACAAAGAACCATGGATGTGATGTGACCATGAAAAGATTTAGTCCCAGGCTGTATCTGACAAGGTATTTCAATTTGACATAGGAAAATACTAATCTAATACCCTCGTACAAAGTGTTATTAAGACCTCATCTGGCATAATGTGCTACCCAAGTTCGAAGAGGATGAATCAAACTAGAACATGTGCAGAGAATGGCTGCTAGGATGGTCAAAGGAAAGGAGAATCTGTCTTAGACAAGGATACCAAAAGAGCTTAGGTGGCTTAGCCTAGCAAAATGAGAAGGAATAGGATTGTTCTCAGCAGAAAGAAAGAAGAGCTCTTTAAACTGAAGGACTATGTTGGCACGTGAACAAATGGATATAGACTGGCCATGAATAAATGAAGGTTGGAAATGAAAAAATGGTTTCTAACCACTGGGGGAGTGAAGTCTGGAAGAGCTTCTCAACAGACTAATGGGGTCAGAAAACCCAATTTGACGGAACCCGATCTGTTTATGAAGGACATTAGAGGATGCAGTGCCTGCGAAAGCAGCGGCTGGACTTAGTGACCCATGACAGCCCTTCCCTTCCTGTATTATGTGCTCCTAATTGCATTCCTAGCCTTTTATTCTTTAGCAGCTGTATCCCCCACCAGCTTTTCCATTATTTTATCTGGGACTGGTGGCAGGCTGACATTGCTACCCTGTTTGAATACTGACACAATATTTGCACTCTCTCTGTCTTCAGGAATATCCTTGCAATTCCACGATTTGTTAAAAATCAGCACATCAGAATTCTCCCCGGCCAGCTCTTTTACAACTCTTGACTGCTTGCTGATTTAGAAATGTTTCCCCCACCTAGATGTTGTTGTCCTGATCAGTTGCTAACGGTTTGAGAAGTATTCCATCACCTTCATTCAATCCCAGCATCATGCCCTGCTGCTTTCAAATAGAGAACAGAAATATGTATTGACCACTTCTACCTCTGCCCTGTTATCTCACTAACAATATTACTGTCTCCAGCTGTGATGATTTAGGGAACTATGGATTCTGCTTTATATAACAAGAGCACCAGAGGTATATTTTGGGACTGAGGACAGAGTGTCCTATTCAGCCCTGGGCCCAAAAGGAAACGGTGCTGGATAGAGATGCTCCAGAAGCTGGACAATTATCTATGGGCAGGAGAGAGGGGTCCAGGACTTAGAGAACTTGTCCCGGGGCCAGAACCCCTCCTGAGTGGGAAGGAGACAGAAACAGGACACCGCAGTAAGGTGTGCTTGTTTTTCCAGTCCAGATCTTTGTGTTTCCTGCGCTGTCCAAGCGACGAGCACCGTGTTCCGGCGCCCTGTGCAAAGTCTGTGTAGCCAGAGCATCCACGTGGGTGTAAGCCTGGGAAAATGTGTGCTGAAGCTATGGAGGAGTCGGGGGGATAGCACGGGTCATGGGGCCTATGAGGGCTATGAGGGCCTATAAAGCCAGGCCTCTGCAGGGGCCACAGCTCCAGCCTGGGCCGGGGACGAGTCCGCAGATGGGGCCTGCAGGGGTGAAACCATCCAACGGCGCGTCCAGAACAGGGCGCCAGACTCAGGCATGGGGCCAGGCCACAGGCGGGGAGAGCCTCTGCCAGGGCAGCCATGCATGCTGGCAGCCTGGCCCTGCCACCACACCGCCACACCCCGTGGGGTGCCCTGAAGCCAGACCTCAGCGTGGGCCTGATGCCACAACTCCATGACCCCACCACCGCGGGCCGCGGTCCCTTTAACTCCCGCCCCAGCCTCGCCCTCCGCGGCCGGCTTCTTTTTTTTTTT